TTAATGAGGTTTAATTAAAAAATTTAGGCTAAATTTATTAAGAATAGTACATCTAATCTTTTGACTTCTCTTGCCTTTTACACTGATGAGGGTGATCAATGATTTTGTTATGAATTATTATATTATCTTATGGAATATTCAAATTAATTTTTATGGATGTTGATGGATTCATCAATAGTTATTTATATTTTTACTTGGTAAATGTGATCAATATAATAGTGGATTATCTATTGTAGTAATAAGAATAAAGGTATAGGGTGAAGACCATCAAGAAAAAATACCTCATAATGAATATGTAGTGACTCCCAAAATTTGACATGCTTCAAAATAGGATATTCCTCCTTAAGATTCTCTCCCTTATTTCAATGAATCACAGAGAGATGGGAGGGTTCTTTAAAGTTTTCTAATGGAAATTAAATTATTTAATGAAAATTAAGGCTAAATTAGTGGACGTATGAATAGTTCTACTAGAGAGAGTAGAATCATATGTGGGCTTGCCCCTTAAGAGTTATGGGTAAGACATGACAAAGGACTTTGGTTGAAGCTTGTTGAAAGTATATGATGATCACATAGGGTTCATATGGGATAGCTTTATTAATGCTTTCTAAAATGGTGTTTTAATTAAAAAATTTCTTGAATTAGAAATTTTTGTACTAAAAAGCTGCTTTAGAAAACAATGAAAAGCATGTCCCATACAAAGCCATAGTGATTATTTTGATCATAAGGTTTAAAACTTTTATCATATAGACACTTGTGTATAATTAAACTCCACTTGAAGAGTAAACAAAAATTATATATCAATTAGAAAAAAATTTATGATGAAAGTGTTGTAGCTCATCTCATATAGCATTAATAAGGGCATCAACAAGGTGATATTGATTTAATTCTTATATGATTGATGGAGAATTATGGGTTGGTCGAACAATAGGGGAATGAAGGGTTGAACTGAAAGTGTATAAGACAATTCGATGAGACTATAATTTAGGTTACATCATGATGATGAGGAGGTATGACATGGGTGCAATCACATGGATTATCTCTAAACTATTATTTATTTTATGGTCAGAGAACTCCCTTATGTTGTGATGGTGTTCTTTATTATCCAACCTCTTTAAGAGTTAAAAAAAATTGAACTTAAAATTTTTCCTTCATATGTATAAGATCCTTCAAAGTGAGGCCTTAGTGGTCGTCACTACAAGATTATGTTATCTTTGATTGATGGATTGATTAATCACCAATTTAAAAAAGTATTTATAGTATGTTGGATATATTTATCATATTATATATATATATATATGGATAGATTATTACAAGATATTAAATTTGCGGCACTAACATATTTAATATTATTATGTATGAAGATCCAGCATGTAAAGATAAAAGTTTTAAGAGGCACTAAAAATTTTCACATAAAAAATCTAAATAATTTAGAAAAATTATCTAGTAATTGTTGAAGGGATTACAAATGAAGTGATGGAACTTGGAGATGATATTACAAGATCAATCAATAAATAACCATAATTGGACAATATAAAATATTAGGAGTCTCGTGACAATGGTCAAAGTTTTTTGTGGTGGTCATTGATGGTGATTGATAGGGAATGCAAAGGAGTTCTTATAGTCTTTCAGCTCTTATATAGAGATTGAGATCCTATTTATAACTTTTGAGATGAGCATTTTTATAAATATAGTCATAATCCAAAATCTTATGTTAAATAACTCATATTTAATCTTATATCTTTTATTAATCATTTGAGATTGATCTTAGAATTAAATGATTTTAAGCTCGTGGATTCATCTTGTCGATTTGCTCGATTTGACTATAAGCATGCAAAATTTGGGGGTCAAATGTTCCTCTAATTGATGTACTAATGTTTTTAAATGTATTTCAATTACCCTAAACCCTAAATCGAACTCAAAATAGACTATATTTTTGAGACTTTTGAGTTAATTAAACACAAATTCACACACACACACACACACATATATAAACTTCAAATTTAAGACCTCTTAATTGACCAACAATGCTTTGTGCTTTATTATTATTGTTATTATACATCTTCCATGGTGACACTCAAGGGAAGAAGCTCCATCTTGTCTCATCGAGAAATGCATGCCTTCCTAAAGTGCTTGGTGGCAATGGGCTACCTTTTATTGTTTCTCTAATTCATGCATATTATTCTTCTTCAGTAATTTTGAGATGTCTTTCTTTGTAGTTGTTGGATGAAGAATATTTACACTTCTTTTTGGAACCATATCTCTGGGAAAACTTTTGGAACCATACCTCTGGGAAAACTTCTTCCTATTTGAAGCAGGTGTGCAATGTGGTTGATTTGATTAAACCTAACATATCCATTAATATTATTAATGGTAGAAAGATCTCCCTTTGATGGGATCCTTGGTGTGCTGGTAAAAGTTTATTTGAGCTTTTTCCCTTTTTTATGCTACTTTTCCTACTACCTCTTTGATTTCTGCTCTTATCTATGATGGGGTTTTGTCTCCTTCTTAGGTGCTAGCCCACCCATAAATAGTTCTATTTTTGCTATAAACATTTTGAATGCTAATGTTCATGAATCTCTTTGGTGCAATAAGGACAATCCTACCTTTAAATGCTTTCTTAATGATTGTTATCAAACTTTTAAAGAGGTTTATTGGCTTAAATATATATTGCATAAAAGGTTTGCTTTAAGATTCTCTTCCTTCACTTTGTTAGCTATGGTGAATGGCCTCAGAAAGGCTGATAGTCTTATTTTTAGGGGTATCCCAACTAATCCTCCGTGCCCTCTTTGCCTTATTAATTCTAAATCTATTTCTCACGACTTTTTTTTAATGTAACTTTTCTTTAAATATTCTTAAGACTATCTTCCCTGGTGCCGCTATTTTTTTTAGACCCAATATCAATCAATTTTTTTTTTTTCATTAATGGGGAGCCTAATTTCTCTTTACACAATTTTTTTCTTTATACTTATTTGTGCATTCATTTACTTTATTTTGTGTGAACGGAACAATAGGTGGTATGAAAATTCTTAATCTTGTGACAATGCCATTCTGCTTTTGATTAGAAAGGCTATATCAAAGCAAAAATATGCCATTGGAAAGAAGCTGAGTAGTTTATTTCAACTAGTTTTATGATTGTCTTTTGGCTTTACTATTTTTCTTTTTCGGTTGTTTTGAGTTCGATGTTCCATCTGCTCATGGCTAGGGGAGGGGGGTGGGGCATTTTCTCCTTTGGGTATTTTACTATAAATTTTCTAGATGATGATGTGGCTGCTTTCCTCCCTCATCATAAATGGTATTAGTATTATTTTGTCAACCATGGAGGCTCTATTCGATAACACTGCTACCTGAAGGGTTTTTGCTAGTTTCCATTTTTGAAGATGTCCTTAATCTGCTTTCGGATTTTTTCTTGATGCTTTGCTTTAACATGTTGATTGTAACTTTTTTGGGGAATTTGGCAATATGTAATGGTCTATATATTGTATCATTTTTTTTTTTCTCTTTAGTTGTAACTTTGTGTTTTCCATCCATGGAGGGTCTTTTTCCCTAGCAACCAAATGAGAATTTTTCTTTGCAAGTGGCATGTGCAGAAAGGGCTGGCTTTTTTTTAGTCGTTTTTGTTGTATCCTTTGTGGGTTTGTCTCCTTTTTCTTTAGCTTTAGGTGTTTGTTTTGGCTAATATGATATTTTTATATATCCATTTTCTGTTAATGAATTTGGGGTTATCGCCTTCCAAAAAAAAGAAAATGAAACGGAGCATTGAGCCACTGATAATGGATTTTTTTTTTTGAGAAAAACTGACAATGGATTGAAAAACATTATTGTCATTGTTTAAAAGTAAATATTGCAAATGGAAAATTTGCAAATACTGTTTTCATTTGTATCTAAATTTGATTGCTCTAAACAAACAATCTTCGAATCCCCAAACCGGCCCAACAAGACTCCGTAACGACCACAATATCACAGCTCGGCATACAATCCATAGCTTTTGCACTAGATACGTGCCGGGAGGGCATTTGCTTCTTTAGGTATTTTGCTATATATCTTTTGAACGATGATGTGATTTCCTTCCTCCCTCATCCCAGATGTTATTGGCATTGTTTTGGCAATCGTGGAGGGTCTATTCGATAAGTCTATTACATGGAGGGTCTTGACTGGTTTCCATTTTGAAGTTTTCCTTCATCCGCTTCTCAATTCTTTCCTGATGCTTTGCTTTAACTTGTTGACTGTAACTTTTTTGATGAACTCGGCAATATGTAATGTCTATATGTTGTAGCTTTTGTTTCTCTTTAGTTGTATACTTGTTTTTTCCTCCATTGAGGGTCCTTTGCCTTGGCAACCAAGTGAAGATTTTTCTTTGTGGGTGAGGCGTGCAAAAGGTATGATTCTTCATGGATCCTTTTTATTGTTTCATTTTTAGGTTTGTCTTTTTTTTTTGACACTTAGGCCAATTAAGACAGACTTATACACATATCGCATACACAAGATTTGAACTCATGGCCTCTTAATTGGTAGCCTAAGCTCCCAACCAAAATACCAAGATGAGATGTGTCTTTTTTTTTTTAATTTACGTGCTGCTTTTGACTCTTTTGAGATTTTTGTATATTCATTTTATTTTAATGAACGTGAGATTAACCCTATAAATAAAAAAGAAATGCAGCACTGAGCCACTGGACTGGATTTTTTTTTCTTTCTTTTTTTGAGAAAAAAACTGAAAGGATTCGAATGCGTTGTTCATTGTTAAAAAGTAAATATTACGGACGGCAAATTTGCAAATACTGTTTTCATTCGTATCCGAATTCGATTGCTCTAAACGAACAATCTCCGAGTCCCCAAAACCGGCCCAACAAGACTCCGCGACGACCACGATCTCACAGCCCGGCATCGCAATCCGCAGCCCTCCACTGGATACGGGTCTCGTCGCCTTCCTCCTCCGATACCGCGAGTTCGACAGCGTGAGCGGAGACGCGGATCCGCCCACTTCGGCTAACTAAAAGGTTTCCTCTTTTCTTAAGCAAGCCCTCTCTTTCTCTCCCTTCACCTTAAACCCTAACCGAACTTTCTCTACACGTCGGCTGGCTCCATGGCTGGATCTCATGATCATGTAGAATCATTTACATCTGTTTTTTTCCCCCGTCAATTCCTTCAATCGATGTTTCAGAGAACTTTACTTTCGATTTGTTTCTTTCACGAGTGTTCTTGGGATATCTTTACCTCTCTGTATGCAGTATGGCCGAATCAATCGATTTGGACGGCAACCAAACCCTCGTGGAGGCCTTGCCCGCTCTTCACAATCCACGAGCCAGGCGATTGAGGTCGCTTGTTTGGAACGATTTTACCAAGAAGCAAAAGCTGGACGGCAATTACGAAGCCATTTGCAACCACTGCGCCAAGAAGTTCACGGCGAACAGCCGGAGCGGCACTACCCACCTGAGGAACCATCTCAACTTCTGCTTGAGCACGCGGCGAACGGATGGTCGGAAGCGCGGCAAGAAACAACTAATAGCATTGAAATCCACAAGGATCAACAATTATGATAAAGATGGGCACGGGGGGTCTCAGTTTGACCAGGAGGTAAGCAGGCAGGATCTTTCTAGGATGATTATTTTGCATGAGTATCCTTTGGAGATTATCAAACAGATTGGTTTCCAAACTTTTATTAGAAATCTTCAACCTCGGTTTAAGCTGGTGTCCGAAGAAATGTTTATGGATGATTGTCTGAAGATTTATGAGAATGGCAAGAGCAGGCTGTCTGAGTTACTGGAGACACTCCCATGCCGAGTTGGTCTTACTATGGATAGATGGGGTTCGAATTATGGTGCGGAATATTTGTGTTTAACTTGCCACTTTGTTGACAATGATTGGAAGCTTCAGAGAAAGATGCTCAATCTTTTGCATTTTGAGGCTCCGCCTACTGCAGAGGATATTTTTGAAGGAATCATGGAGAAGCTGCATGATTGGAAGATCAGCAGAAAGCTGTCTTGTATGGGTTCGGATCAATGTGTGAGTGATCAAGTTGCAGCTGATAATCTTCTTCTTAATTTTCTTCGCTCGACAGATTCCCTGCATCTAAATGGTGACCTGTTTCTTTTTCATGGTTTGGTGCATGTATTGGATGTTGTTGCTCAGGAGTCTATGGTTCAAATACTTGAAATATGTGAGAGAGTGCGAAGTTGTGTGATTTTTGTGAAGTCCTCACACGAAAAGTTAAAAAGATTCCAAAATGCCGCAATGCTAGCTGATGCTCCCAAAAAAAATTTAGTTCTTGATGTTTCTTCTAATTGGAGATCAACTTATTTGATGATTGCAACTGTTTATGAATTTCAGAATGCTTTTAAAAACTTAGAAGAGTATGATTCAGATTTTTCTTTTGATGTAGAGTGGGGTGATGTCAAATCTGTTAAAGAATGTCTGGAAACATTTGATCACATGATAAAAAAGTTTTCAGGAATTAGAGTACCTACGGCAAATCACTATTTCATTGATATTTGTGGCATTCTTCTGCTGTTGAATTCATGGTCTTCCAGTCCAGTTCCTGTTATTGCTAAACTTGCTTCTCAAATGCTCAAGGGATTTAAACCATATTGGGATGCAAATATCATGGTTTTGGCAATTGCTTCAATTTTGGATCCTCGTTACAAGATGAAATCTGTAGAATATTTCTTCAAAAAAATCTACATTGGAGATTATGAAGCGAAAATGAAGGTTGAGAGCATTTTCAGCAGCTTAAGAAATTTGTACAGTGAATATGTCGTCCATTCTGCTAACAGTAAAAGTGATCAGGCTCTTTTATGCTATACTAGTGGTAATAGTGGCTGCCTTGTCTTAGAATGTGGAACAAGTGGAGGCTCTCATTCGTCTTCTCATATTACACTGTCTGATACACGGCGAGGGCTTGATCAATATCTTCAGCAGACCTTGTCAAGCCAATCGATAAAATCGGACTTCGACTTGTATTTGGAGGAACCTGTATACATATATAAAGATGGTCCTGATGATAGCTTCAACGTGCTAGCTTGGTGGAAGCTCAATGCTGCAAAGTATCCCATCCTTTCTTTAGTTGCCCGTGATACTCTTCCTATTCCTTTGGGGAATGTCACAACAAGAATTGAAGATAGGCCTTTGTCTCAATATTTGAATTCCCTTAATCCACTTGCTTTGCAAAGCATGGTTTGTGCTCAGGATTGGTTGAGAGGTGAAATGGAAGGTATAAATGCAACCCAAAACATTTTTATTACTGCTATTCATTTGATCGAATTTTCGTCACTGTTTTTCTGTTTGGTAATTTTTTACTATTTGGAAAAATATTTTGCTTTCGCTGAATCTGTTGATTATCTATCTTTGCAGCTAACGTAGAGGAAGTTGAATGTTCAGCAAATAATATTGTTGTTAAACTATGATTATTGATAAATATAGGTAAACTAATGCTTCCATTTATTAATGTTTTCATTTATAAATATTAAATTTATATTTTCCTGTTTATTTTTGCAGATTTCAATTTGATTATTAAGCCAATCATCAGGCTAGTAGTTTAGAGGTATACTCGAGTGATTTTGCAAGAATATAGGAGGAAAGCAAAATTCGGTTCTATTAACTCACTGCAATTGCAAGAATTGGGTTGGGGCTTTTTAACATTTCTTCTTATTCCTACATCTTAGCTAAGCAAATGCTATGTTTGTACCCTGGCGTGGCTGGTGTATAATGTGTTGTAGCAACTAATAACTGCTAATATATTTAGGCAGCTTTTTACATCATGTAAAACTTTCTTGTCATTTTGTAAAATTCTTTTTTATATAAAAACATCTTAAAATCAGGAAAAAAATAGTGGTCTAAAATTATTCCAGACGAAGTCTAAGATGATGAGATTTGTTGTGGAAGTGAGGTGAAATTAGCTCTAAAAAATATGCTTAAAAGTTTAATTTTTGATCTGGATGAGATACTTATTGTGATTTAAAAAGTTATGGATGATATTATTGTAATTTGAAAAATTTTGGGGTATGCCTTAGCACCAAAAATCATATTCCAGTGATGTAACACTCAAACTTCAACAGTGCCTAGGTGGAGCAGTTGCCAACATAAAGGGCCACATGGACTCAGCCAAAAGTTATGTTATTTTAATCAGTAATCATTCTAGGTTAGCCAGCACTGAGTTACTTGTTCGTTTTGTATTGTCGTAGCACCAGCATGTCGAGCATTGTGGTGCCTGAGCCCATCACTATACTCTTATAAATAGTTGTTGAGTTCTGTTATTTAAGGAGTACTGTCACTTAAGTAATAATATGTATTTTTAGTGTGTTTCTCTATTGTCCCCTTAGGGTAAAGTCAAAGGGTGACTAACGAAGTGCTAGATACTTTCTCTTGTGGAGATCTTAGCCTTTTTGGTGGACGAAGTGTAGTGAAGATCATTTGATCTGCCCATGTGGTAATTTTTATTATTATTTCTCTTGTATATTTTCTATCAATAAATGAAATATAGATGAGTTTACTTATTATATCTTTAATGTCTGACAAAATTTCTAGTTTTGGGATGATGTTGTAAAAATTATAATTTTAATGTAAATTCTTGTTCCTTGAATGATAAGATTATATTTTTAATCTCTCATTCTTTATTTAATGTATGTAATGGTCATGTGTGTAATTAAAATTTTGTGGGATATATAGCTTCGGTGGATGAATACTAGAATAATTAGGAATGTTGAAATAGAATTTTTGCATGCTTAGGTATAGGATGCTTAAATATTTTAGGTTCTATGGAGATGGTTAAATTATAGTAAGATCATAAACTTTTTTTCACTCCTATTAGCTCGACAGAGATTTAGAGATGCATATATTTTGATCCACATCTTCAATTGAATGAGACTCATTAAAAAAATTATGTTATTTGCATTCATTAGTTCAAAACATAATTTTCATTTGCAAGTTTTTTCTTCAGTGACAAAAACTTCAAAACAACAGAATTATTTTTCAGTAGGATAAGTCATTCATTTGAAGCAGCAGTAGTATTTAAGTTACAATCAAGTTGAACACTTTCTCGTGGGTTTGACACTCTATTACTTTATTACTTGATTCAAAATGTATACATGTATATTTTAGTGGGCTTTTATTAATTTTTATTAAAAAAAAAACTTAAAGCATGTTTTAAACTTAATAAGTCACTAGCTTATTTATCTCATTTGTGTATGAGGTCATCATAAATTATCTGAACTCCTGATTGTCAATCATCTAGTTTTCAATCAGCACTTCAATCAACTTAAATCATCTCTTCAATCAACATTTAAATCAACTTCAATCATCTCTACAATCAACATTCATCTATACCTCAATCAATTATTAGTCTTTTGTATATATTCTACATTAATTATCATCAAGCAATTAATCATTAATTAGCCATCAACCTACATACCATTGTACTTCAATCATTTAATCTACAATCAATCAACCACCTTCTACAATCAACAATCACCACTCTAAATAATCTAGACAATTAATAGTCATGCACTACACTAAGCTAATTTAGTCCATTAACTCATTAACTTCAGTCATGATCCAAATCACTTCACTATGAGTTTCATATATCAAATCATTCATGAATGAACTCTTTAATCATCAAATGACCCATATGTCCTACTTGAGCTAGCTCAAGCTAGCCCAATTGATCATAAAGCTCAATTACCACCAATTGAACTTCAAATCACCTTTTCTTTTGAACAAACTATTTTGAACATCGCTCTCGAAGGATTAGACATGATCGTTCACCTCGACCCTAGTCATTAGTTTACTTGGTCAATTGAACCCTAGTTTTGTCAAACATGACCAATTTGGATTGACCCATTGCATGCACTGAAATCAAACCTCCAAATCTCTCAAAATCAATTCATTGCATGTTGTAAACATACTCAAACCATTTATGAGTCAAATTTAATGGGTTTGAATTGGTCAACCCATTGAATTTGGTCAAACCAAACACATGCACTCAATCATTCATGCAAATAAAACCTTTGCTCCAAACTCATCTAACTTAGCTCAAACACCATTCAACTATCCCTAAAGACCCATCCCAATCAACTTGACATTTTGACTGCTCAAAATGGTCAACAAAGTCCACCACCTCAACCCAAATGATTTTAAACTGCGTAAATCAATTCGTCTAGCTTAGTTTTCAGGCTTGCCAACAGACTTGCTTGACCGGCCTCTTGTCTACTGAAGATACGGGACGAGCTAATAAGCTATACTGTATCGTTTTGGAACACCTATTGACTTCTCTTCTTCCTCCCTAAGATTGACTTTAGTACGAGACTCAATACATGGCTCTACGAAGGGGTTAGGAGCTTTTTCAAGATGGACAATGGGCGAAAGTCCGATCCAGCAATATCGCGTGAGTGGATTTTGGGCAGAAACATCCTGGACAACGTGCTGCTAGCACATGAATTAGTAAGGAATTTTCATCGGCAGAGAGTGAATTTTGCATTTCCCTCCATATGAGCCTGCCTAATCCATTTTTGGGAGCTTCATAAGCTTCCTAAAAAGTGGTCCAAAGATTTGGTTTAGCCAAATGAAGCCTTCCATGGAAAAGTGGCAAATGGCCTCCAGCACCTTCCAACAACTCCCCTTGCCCCAAAGTTGTGTTCCTTTCCACTTGGCAAACATCCACAACGTGAGCCAATCAATCCTAGCCTTTGCTTGGGATGGAGGGACTTAGAATAGGGAAAAAACATAGAAAAAAGCATATTCATTCCAGCCAAAAGTTTAAGTCACCTTTAGCTCTCCTTGAAGAGAAGTCGCTCGTGGAGTTCTAAGGAGGAGAAGTAGTCATTCCCCATCCTTTAAAGTCATTTCTACTGAGGTAAAACCTAAATCCTAGCTTAAAGATTTAGGATTTAATGTATTTGATGCAAGGTTTTCAAAATCAGACTGGACAACGAACCGGAAGAAGGAGAGGTTCACGGTTCGACCGGTCGAACCAGGGTCGAACCGGATGACGTAATAAATAATAATATTATTAAATTTAATAAAATGAATGAGACATTTTTCTCTAATAACTTCACTCTACATTCCATTTTTATATTAAACTAATCAAATAACATAAATATTGCATCAATTAAATTTATAAAACATAAAAAAAATAACACACAATATAAATCTGACATCAAATAAGTCAATAAAATAATAAAATATAAGCAAATATTTCATGAATTTAGCAGATTTTTGCATTACATAGAGGCAATTTCTGAATTTCGTGATTCAAACTCATGGCATACAAGGCAAATTGAGAAAAAGAAAGAATTAAACCCAATATCAAAATTCAAAAATATTATGATAAATGTGCTTCCTCATTAAAGAACGAACACCACATATCAAACCAACCCACAGATGTCTATCCTTAGGCCTCGACTGGTAATACCATAAAATTATGCTGGATGAAAAAGGTATAATTGCTCTCCCTTGGATGGACAACTTGCTCAAAACGTTCAATCAAAAATCAAAATAGATGGCTTTCCTGGAGCTCGACGACGACGAATTGGTTTCTCATGGTAAGTCGTGCCGCCGGCTGGGATGAATCAGAGAAGGTGGGAGAAGTCCTTCGGCTTCGCTTGTGGATGGAGGAGTCGCGTGGCTTGAGGCGTCGAAGAGAGGAAGACTCGAAACAAAATACTCAAAGCAGCTTACGATTAGGGCAGCGTGTATAGCGATCAAAACTTCCCCACGCGCGCGTTCGTGGATGGACGGCTGAGATTTGCAAATTTTCGAACCGTCCGGTTCTTCAAAAGCTGCCCGATTTGGCGGTTCCCCGGTTCAACCGTGTTTTGTACCGGTTTTCAGCCGGTTTCAAAGACAGCCGGTTCTGGCATCAAATCGGACCGCCCGCCGGGTTCGCGGTTGAACCGGTCGAACCGGCCGGTCCGGTCCGGTTTTGAAAACCTTGGTTTGATGTGTAAGACATTTTTAAACAAAAAATTTTCTCCCCGTCGCTCCTTTAATGTCATTTTTCATCTTCTAAAAGTTTTAAGCCATTTCACCTACTCTATTTTGAGTTCTATAACTTCTTCTAATTAAGGGTTTTGGGTATTCACATGGAGAAAATAAAATCATAGTAATTCATCCCTTCTATTTTGACCAAACAGTTGGGATTCATTTCAGATCGTGCAAAATCATATTGTATTATTAAAAAATCATACAAAATGATTCAATTCATACTATATGATTTAATGTTTCTACAGTACAATCATTGATAGGATTCCCACTCAAAATGCATGTCATTATCCTAAATGACACATAAAAATACCGTAATGTATGATTTTTTTATTGAATGTATGATCTTGATCGTCCAGTACAACCCTTAGCACAAGAAAATGGTTGAAACCTTGAAATTTGCCAAAAATCCATTTCATATCAAAATTTAATGTTCTTTGTGGCTTGTTGGAAATGTCTTGAGAGCCCAAGTTCATTTAAAATTAATTTCATTAGATTTGGACCACTAGATTGTGAGAAATTTAAGTTTTATTAAAAAAGATCAATCTAGTGCGATTGAGCTCAAATTTGGTAGGATAAACTTGGGAATATTCCTTACATGTGACAGTTAGCTTGATCCAAAGTTCCGAGTTAAATTTTATCTCAAAATTTTGAAAATTTATTTCTCTAAAAATAAATTGAATTAGGTTTTAAAATTTTTGTATCTGATGTGTTTTGTTGTTAGGGTTAGGCATATCGAATTTCAATCCGATATAAACAATAGTGACACCTAGGAAGAATAATTAAGGATTATGTCTAATAAATTTTTAAAAATTCTAAAAAGTTTTAGACACATCTAAT